CTGCGGGGGAAGGGGGGGAGGGGGAGAGGGTGTTATTGGTTGGTGGTGGTGTTTTGGGGAGTTGTGGTGACACGCACGTACGCACACGCATATGCATACAGACATACACATACACACACACACAGAAACAGACACATACTCAAAAAAACACACAACGCACACAGAACACACACACACACACACACACACACACAGAAACACACACACACACACACACACACACACACACACATACACATATCAACATATGAAATGCATCAACATATTAGCATTACAACAAGCTCCATTTTAAAACCTACACGCAACATGCCACAAAAATGAAAAAAAAAAAAAAAAAAAAAAACTTCCAACATAATTTCGGAAGCAGAGAATCCTTCGAAATCCCTATGATCGCTTCTCTTTAATCATCAGCAATAATTCAATTTAAGTGCCCGACCGAAATGAGCATAATGATTCGTCGGAGAGAAATCGATGTGCATAATTAACCAGCGTCCGATTGTGCCAAAATGTGGTTTTCATTTCTAATAATAATATAATATAATAATAAATAATAATAATAATAATAATAATAATAAATAAATAATAATAATAATAATAATAATAATAATAATAATAATATAATAATAATAATAATAATAATAATAATAATAATAATAATAATAATAATAATAATAATAATAATAATAATAATAATAATAATAATAATAATAATAAAATAATAATAAATAAAAAATAAAATAAAAAGTTATAAATACGTCACGGGGAAAAATACGAATAAGCCAAATGAGTGACGTAATAGGACCATAAATAAAATACATACAGAGCAATACACACAGTTCATGGATGCGTGCACATAATACTCCAGTTTTTCCACTTATTCTAAAACTTTTTTTTTTATCTTATTCTAACAAAAAGGGAATGTTATTCTTAAACTTTTTTTTTTTTTTTTTTTTGTATCTTATTCTAAAAGTGCAATTATTATTTCGGGAATTTCCTAGTTAACCTTTCATTTATCGCAATGTTTATCTATTACTCTTCTTGACTATGGCAACTCTACGGCATTACGATAAAGCTTATGGTAAATGTCTATTGTGATTGATAATAATGATAATGATACAAATTATAATAACGATGGTGGTGATAATAATGACAATAATGATAATAATAATCATCATCATCATCATTATCATCCTCATTATCATCAAAATGACAATAAGAACAATAACATTATCATTAGCAACAACTATCACAATAACCAATCAGTTAAAAAATTCTAGACACCTCGTTTAATGAACTTTTTTTTTCTCTTTTTCTTTTTCTTTTCTCTTCCTCCACTTCCTACTTTCTTCCATTTGCCACTTCCTCCCCGACTTTCCAAAACGAATTATTGACTTTGCTTTTTGATTTGATAAATGGCTGCCGGGCTGAGGCTTCCTTCGGCTGGCTTTGTCTACATAAAAACAACAGGAATAGACAGAAAATCGATAAAGGAAGGAAGGACGAATAGAGAGGGAGGAAGAAGGAATAGAAAGGGAGGAAAGGAAGGAAGAAGGAACAGAAAGGAGGGAAGGAAGAACGAACGATGAAGAAAGGAAGGAAGTGCGAGAATAAGAAAGAGAGAAAACGAAAGAAAGAAAAAGGATAGACAATAAACACGAAATAAAGAAAGGAGAGAAAAAAACGAAAGAAGAAAAGAAGAAAGGAAGAAAGACAAAAAGCGAGCGAATGAAAAGAGAACAAAAGAAAAAAAAGAAAAAAAAAAAGCGAGCGAATGAAAAGAAGAACAAAAGAAAGAAAAGAAAGATAAAAAAAAAGCGAGCGAACGAAAAGAACGAACGAAAAGAAGAACAAAAAGAAAAAAAAAAAGATAAAAAAAAAGCGCGAACGAAAAGAAGACAAAAGAAAAAAAGAAAGATAAAAAAAAGCCAGCGAACGAAAAGAAGAACAAAAGAAAGAAAGAAAAGATTTAAAAAAACGAGCGAACGAAATGCACACCGCTAACCAAGCAACAGGAATCAACTCTTCTGGGCGACAGAAAGGAGCAATTCTTTCTTTCTTTCTTTTCTTCCTTTCTTCCTTTCTTCCGACGGGCCGCTGAGGGCTCGGTGTTGCAAGAAAGAGGGGAGAGGGAACGGAGGGGAAGGAAGGGAAGAGGGAATTGGAAATGGAGTAAGAGGAAGGGTTGGTGGAGAGTGGGGAGGGGGGGGTGGGAGGAGGAAGGAGAAAAAGAGAGAAAGAAGAGGGATAAAGGGAGGGAGGGCAGGGAGGAGGGAGGAGGAGAGAGAGAGAGAGAGAGAGAGAGAGAGGAGAGAAGAGAGAGAAGAGAGAGAGAGAGACCCCCGCCCCCTCCTCCCTTCCCCACCTCCTCAACTCCCCACCCCCCATCTCATCACTCTCCCCACCTCCTCCCCTCCCCACACTCCTCCCTCCCCCCCTCCCCCTCCCCCTCCCACACCTCCTCCCTCTCCCCCCCTCCCCCTCCCCCTCCCCCCTCCCCCTCCCCACGTCAATCTCGCGCAATGATTCGCCAATCTCGCTCCGACGCGGGTTGGCGAAGGCGGGGGACAGAATTGAGTGTCATTAAGGTCGAATCTTGTTCATGCCGCCGCCGCCGCCGTCGCAACTCCCTTTCCACGCCCACTTTCCTCAGAGAAGTAACGTAATTTTTTTTTTTATTATTATTGTTATTTATTTTATTTATTATTGTTATTATTTTTATTTATTTTTTTATTTTTTTATTATTTATTATTTTTTTTATTATTATTTATTTATTTTTTTTTTATTTTTTTTTTTTTATTATTATTTTATTTTTTTTTTTAGGTCAGAAAACAAGATGTAACGCGATGTAAGTCATGTAACGTCGTTAAAATGTCATTAAAAAACTCGATACGATAAAATCTTATAATCATAAAATGTCACATAAAATCCATATATGGTTTTACAAAGTTATCTTATGTGTCTTGTAATATCACAATTCGCGTGGTCTTAAAAATCCCAATAATATCTACTCTTACAAATACAAATGCCATGCGAATGTCATATCGTTAAGTCTTACAAAATCATTCATATTGTCATAAAAAAGTCACGTCATAAAACAAACTCTAGAAAAAGTTACATAACACATTACGTCATCTCTGAGACTGCGTGTTGTGTGTGCTTGTTTCATTGTTTCAGGTCGAGTGCGTGAGTGTGTTGTGTGAGTTGAGTGAATTGAGCGAGTGAGTGAGTGAGTGTCTGATAGTTCAGTGAGTGAGTGAGTGAGTGAGTTGCGAGTCAGTGTCAGCTTCAGTGAGTGAGTGAGTGAGTGAGTGAGTTGAATGAGGTGAGTGAGTGAGTGAGTGAGTGAAAGTGCTCAGTGTCACTAGTAGTGAGTGAGTGAGTGTGAGTGAGTGTGCGTCAGTGTCAGAGTGAGTGAGTGAGTGAGTGAGTGAGTGTCTGCGTCAGTGTCAGCTTCAGTGAGTGAGTGAGTGAGTGAGTGTCTGCGTCAGTGTCAGCTTCAGTGAGTGAGTGAGTGAGTGAGTGAGTGAGTGAGTGTCTGCGGTCAGTGAGTGTGAGTGAGTGAGTGAGTGAGTGAGTGTCTGCGTCAGTGTCAGCTTCAGTGAGTGAGTGAGTGAGTGTCTGCGTGCAGTGTCAGCTTCAGTGAGTGAGTGAGTGAGTGTCTGCGTCAGTGTCAGCTTCAGCGAGTGAGTGAGTGAGTGAGTGAGTGGTCTGCGTCAGTGTCAGCTTCAGTGAGTGAGTGAGTGAGTGTCAGCTTAGAAGTGAGTGAGTGAGTGAGTGTCTGCGTCAGTGTCAGCTTCAGTGAGTGAGTGAGTGAGTGTCTGAGTGTCAGCTTCAGTGAGTGAGTGAGTGAGTGTGAGTGTGAGTGTGAGTGTGAGTGTGTGTGTGTGTGTGTGTGTGTGTGTGTGTGTGTGTGAGAGAGAGAGAGAGAGAGAGAGAGAGAGAGAGAGAGAGAGAGAGAGAGAGAGAGAGAGAGAGAGAGAGAGAGAGAGAGAGAGAGAGAGAGAGTGTGTGTGTGTGTGAGTGTGAGTGAGTGAGTGAGTGAGTATGAGTATGAGTAAGCGTGAGTGTGAGTGCAAGTGTGTGCGTCTGTGTTTGTTTCAGCATGCCTGCGTCTTTCACTGTTTATTTTTTTCTTTATCATATACCATCTTTTGCAATATCACATCCTGTTCTTTCTTCAGCTTTTTCTCTTTGACTTTTTTACGTGTTATCATATAAATTTTTTATGTCACTTCACCTCAATTTTCTTTTTTTTTTTTACTTTTTTGTATTTCTTCCTTCACTAGAAAAAATATATAATTATTATCATAAGTAATCCTACCATCACTATAATTAATTTTTCTAGTTTTCTTTTCATTTATCACAATTTCCTTCTAATTCCCCGGTTTCGCTTGCATGTCCTTCTCCTTCATCAACTTCTCTTGTTCTTCCTCTTCTTCCACAATTATTCCCCCTTTCTCCTACTACACTGTTTCCCTTTTTTCTCACTTGCCATTCCCTCTTCTTTTCTCTCTATTCCCATCTTCGTCTCTCCTTAGTTCCTCCCTGTCTTCTCTCTTCCTTCCGTTTCCTCTTCAAGTTCTTCCATTCCCTCTTCTCTTTTTTATGCATTTCTTATTCCTCCTTCTGGTTCTCTTACACATCTTCCTTTTTCTTCTTTTACTCTCTCTCTCTCTCTCTCTCTCTCTCTCTCTCTCTCTCTCTCTCTCTCTCTCTCTCTCTCTCTCTCTCTCTCTCTCTCTCTTCCTCGCCTCCATTTGTCCTTCTCTTTGAACTCCTTCTCTTCCTCTCCCTTCCTCTCTCCCATCGCTCTTCTCACTTCCTTCCTTTCTTCCCCTCTCGCTCCTCCTCTTCCTCTATTTTGTCCGTTATATTTTTCTTGTTTCATCCTCCTTGTCTTCTTTATCCCTTTCTCTTTTTACTTCTTTCTTCTACTTCCTCCTCCTTCCTCCTTCTCATCTTCTTCCCTCCTCCCACTCCCCCCTCTCCTTCCCTCTCCC